CGGCCTTGAGGCGTGCTGCCCCCTGGCGGCCGCGAGGAGGAGGTGCGCAGGAGCGTGGAGCCCGGCCGCGCGCAGGGAGGACGCGCCCTCTAGGGGCGTTGCTGGGAACAGCGGCCTCTCGGCAGGCGGAGTCGGGTCTCCGCGGGCTTGGCCGCCAGCGTCTGCGAGCATGCGTCCGTGCGCCCACGCGGACGCGGTTCTGCTACCTGACTTTATCACTGGTCGCGTACTCCGCGCCCGACACAATCTTCAACGAGGTCTGCAGTATCTTGGTTAACCTTCCAACAACCCTATGGGGCCGGTATGTTATCCTTCCCAACTGAGGCCTGAAACCCCAAACCCAACCCATTGCGGGCCTGGCAGCGCCAAACTCAGAAAAAAACAAACTCAGTGCTGTGGGGTGGGCTGACCCATAGCGACCCCTCCTCGGGTTGCCAAGGCCGTATCTCTATGGAAGCAGTTTGCCCGGCCTTCCTTCCCGGGAGTGGCTGGTGGGTTTGAACCGACAGCCCTCTGGTTAGCAGTCAGTCAGGTGCCATAGGCACTACGCTAGCCGAGCTCCTAACTAACTTCACAGGGGAGCTTGGCAGGCACTGTTGTAAACGGCTGCCTAGGGTTTCCAAGGCTGTAAAGTTTTACAGAAGCACACTGCCACATTTTTCTTCCATGGAGTGGCTGCTGGATTTGAACAGATGATCTTTCAATTAGAAGCCGAGGGCTTAACCACTGTGCTACCAGGGCTCCCAACTGAGGCACAGAGGGCTAAAATAACAGCCCTGGCTCCGCCTCATCCTAGCTTTGCCCCGTCTTGCCCTGCCTTGCCCCTCTTGGTCTTGCAGGTGGTGTGATTATGTGAGTGGTGGCCCCAGATCCCCTGGCACAGACCTGGCCCTGCCCAAGTCACCACTGCTGTCCTTTTCTTTGTCTAACACACAGGTGAGAGGTGCACCTGTGGCATGGCGGCTACGGGATGGAGGCCCTGGCTCCAGGCTTGTTGTCAAGGGCTGTTTCTGGGGCCCCAAGGGTGGACAGACACACTGGCAGTTTGGGTCCTTCCACGAGGGCTGCCTGACCCCCACACTGTCCAGTGGGGAGACAAGAACAGGCACTTCTGATGTTTAGCGAGGCCAGGGCTAGCCTTGTCACCCTGATGTCCAAGGAGGCAGGTCCCAGCTTCCAGAAAAGAGCAGAGAGTAACACCTACAGCTGCCCAAGGGGCCAGGGGACAGTGAACCCAGCTGGACCCAGATGGCCAGGAGAATGGGCTGCTGGTGTGACACCCTGCCCAGGACATGGCTCAGCCTTGCTCCTGACTCTCTCACTTGTGGGCCCTCTGGGCTGCTGTTGCTGCTGGCTGCAGACAGGTGGACAGGCAGCAGCCCAGGCCGGGCCTTGGGGACAGTGGGGCAGGCCCGAGCCGAGCCCCAGAAGCCAAGCTGAGATCAGGACGCCTGGGCCCACTGTGTGACCACCCCACAGGGAGGAACATGGCCCGTGTGGGGACGTCAGAAGCTGGTCCTTCCCCTGAGTCCTGGAGGGAGCACAGCCGTGAACACCTCAGGTTGGGGCCTGGGCCTCCAGACTTGTGGGAGATCGTCCTGTGTCAAGCCCCCCCAGTTTGGGTCCTTTGTTACAGCAGCCCTGACAACTCAGCCAGTGGGGAAGCAGGGTCCCTGTGCAAGGCCCCATGGCCGGCTCAGAGCCCCCAACCCTTCCAAAGGGCCACGACCTGTCAGGGATTAAAGTGTGTCCTTCAAAGCCGTGTGGTTCAGTCCTGACCCTGGAACACTGACATGACGTTGTGTAGGGTCTTAGTGCAGTAGGGTGGGCCCTAACCCTATCGAGGGATGTTGCTGTCACCGAGAAGAAGAGACAAGGGGAGACACAGACAGAGGAAGAACAGCCACGTGCAGACAGGGTCTGCCGTGGCTGTGAGCCCAGGAGTGCAGGAGCTGGAAAGATGGCGGCTCCTCTTCGGAGCAGATGAGTGGCACTGGAGCCTGGCCTCTAGAACTGGTGGAGACGTGCCTTTCTCACGAGGCTCCCTGGACAACGAAACACCACCTTTCCATCCTCAAATCAAGGCACGAAATGCCAGCCCCCAGGTCAGGTGGTGCATGGATGGGGAGGTGCAGAGCACAAATTGCAGACCCTGGGGTGGGGTGGGGGTGGGGAGGCAGCTGCGGGAAGACCCCCAGGCCCACAGACAATGGGTCCCATGCTGGAGCTTTTCCAAAAAGTGCCCAGGAACTGTCACAGGGCTGCCAAGAATAGTCAGCAAGACAAAACGGAGAGACATGACCATCATTCGTTTAAGAACCCACTCATTTCAGCAGCCAGTGCACTCCCCCTCTGGGTGGCACAGATGTTAAGTGCTTCACTACCAGCTGAGACAGTGCCAGGCCAAGGCCACCGAGAAGTGCCTTGGAAGGAAGGCCTGCTGGTCTCCTTTGGGAAGTTCAGAGCCTTGAAAACCCTCTGAGCCTCTGAAAGACCAGGCTTGCTGATCAGATAGCAGCTGTGGAACCCTGAGACTATGGCCCCTGGTCACCTTTCAGCTGGAACTGAACTCACCCATGGCTCAACTTCCAGACAAGCACTAGAGAGGCCAATAAGATAAAGCCACCACTCGTCAGTTGCTGTTGTAGTGTGGGGGCTGCGTGTTGCTGTGAGGCTGGAGGCTATGCCACCGGTATTTCAAATACCGGCAGGGTCACCCATGGACCTTCCAGACTAAGACAGACTTGGAAGAAGGAAGGGGCAGTCAGTCCATTTCTCAAAGAAGTGGCCAGTGAAAACCTGATGAACAGCAGGAAAACTTTATGAATAGCCCTGAAACATTGTCTGATACCGTGCCAGGAGATAAGCCCATCAGGTTGGAAGGCACTCAAAATATGACTGGGGAAGAACTGAGTCTTCAAAGCAAAGTCGACCTAAATGATAAGGATGGAATGAAGCTTTGGGGACCTCCATTTGCTGATGTGGCACAACTCAAAATCCCAACACAGAATGTACAAAGTATGAATCTAGGAAAACTGGAAGTTGTCAAAAATGAAATGGAACACATAAAGATTGTTATCCTAGGCATTAGTGAGCTGAAATGGACGGGTTTTGGGCATTTTGAATCAGACAACCATATGATCTACTATGTCAGAAATGACAATTTGAAGAAGAATGGTATGGCATTCATCATCACAAAGGATGTTTCAAGATCTGTCCTGAAGTATAATGCAGTCAGTGATAGAATAATAATATCCATACAGCTACAAGGAAAACCAGTTAATACTACTATTATACAAATTTACACACCAACCACCAAAGCCAAAGATGAGGAAATGGAAGATTTTTGCCAACCTCTGCAGTCTGAAGTTGACCAAACGGGTAGTTAAGATGTGTTGATTATCACTGGTGATTGGAATACAAAAGTTGGAAACAGAAGAATTGCTGGTAGTTGGAAAATTTGGCCTTGGTGACAGAAATAATGCTGGAGATCGCATGATAGAATTTTGCAAGACCAACAACTTACTCATTGCAAATACCTTTTTTTTCAACAACATAAATGGCAGCTATACACATGAACTTTGCCAGATGAAATACACAGCAATCAGATTGACTACATCTGTGGCAAGAGGTGATGGAGAAGCTCAATATCTTCAGCCAAATCAAGGCCTGGAGCTGACTGTGGAACAGACCATCATCAACTGCTCATTTACAAGTTCAAGTTGAAGCTGAAGACAATTAAAAGAAATCCACAAGAGCCAAAATATGACCTTGAATATATCCCTCCTGAATTTAGAGACCATCTAAAGAATAGATTTGATGCATTGAATACCAATGCCCGAAAACCAGAGGAATTGTGGGATGACGTCAAGAACATCATCCATGAAGGAAGCAAAAAGTCATTCAAAATACAGGAAAGGAAGAAAAGACCAAAATGGATGTCAGAAGAGACTCTGAAATTTGTCCTTGAATGGAGAGTAGCTAAAGCAAATGGAAGAAATGACACGATAAAAGCTGAACAGAAGATTTCAAAGAGCAGCTTGAGCAGACAAATAACCAATTACTGTAATGAAATGTGCAGAGACCTGGAGTTAGAAAACCAAAAGGGAAGAACATGCTTGGCATTTCTCAAGCTGAAAGAACTGAGGAAAAATTTAAGCCTCTGGTCTGATAGAGCCTGATGGAACCCCTGAGACTATGGCCCCTAGCTGCCCTTTAGGTCTGGAGTTGAACTTGCTTCCAGTGGAGCAGAGGACAGGCATAGGAGCTGAGCATTTGCATTGGGTGGATGCACTCCTTGGAGAGATCAATCATGAGAGAGTGGAGGGGCTGTGTATGCACGGGGAGACAGCTGAGGAGCATGGGAGTGCATGGGAGGGAAGGACACAGGGAGGAGATGGCTATGGGGGGGAGGGGGAGGGGAACTGTTGTGTTGTGGGAGGTTGCAGTCAGTGTCATGAGACAAGGTGTGTGTGAGCTGCTGTATGGAAAGTGAATTTGCTCTGTGGACTTTCACCCAAATCACAATAAAAATTAGTAAAAAAAAAGAAAAAGAAAATCCAAGCTTCGAGTTACAATATTGACTGATTCTATGGACAAAATATTGAATGATACAGGAAACATCAAAAGAAGATGGAATGAATACACAGAATCATTGTACCAAAAAGAACTGGTCAATCTTGATCCATTTCACTGATGGTATTGAAGGAAGAAGTCGAAGCTGCACTGAAGAAATTGGTGAAAAACAAGGCCCCAGGAACTGACGGAATACCCATTGAAATGTTTCAACAAATGAATGATGTGCTAGAGGCACTCACTCAGCTATGCCAAGAGATTTGGAAGACAGCTACCTGGCCAACTGACTGGAAGAGATCCATATTTGTACCCGTTCCAAAGAAAGGTGATCCCACAGAACATTTGTGGGAAATTATCAAACAATATCATTAATATCCCATGCAAGTAAAATCTTACTGAAGATAATTCAAAAACAGTTGCACCAGTATATTGACAAAGAACTTCCAGAAATGCAAGGCTGGATTCAGAAGAGGACGTGGAACAAAGGATATCATTGCTGATGTCAGATGGATCTTGGCTTAAAGCAAAGAATACCAGAAAGATGTTTACTTGTGTTTTATTGACATGCAAAAGCATTTGATTGTATGGATCATAACAAATTATGGATGACATTGAGAAGAATGGGAATTCCAGAACACTTAATTGTGCTCATGAGGAACCTATACATAGACCAGGAGGCTGTCATTCGAACAGAACAAGGGGATACTGCATGGTTTAAGATCAAGAAGGAAGTGTGTCAGGATTGTATCCTTTCACCATACTTATTCAGTCTGTATGCTGAGCAAATAATGCAAGAAGCTGGACTATATGAAGAAGAATGTGACATCAGGATTGGAGGAAGACTCATTAACAACCTGCGATATGCAGACGACACAACTTTGCTTGCTGAAAGTGAGGATGACTTGAAGCACTTACTGATGAAGATCGAAGGCTATAGCCTTCACTGGATTACACTTCAACATAAAGAAAATAAAAATCCTCAAAACTGGACTAATAAACAGCATCATGATAAACAGAGAAAAGGTTGAAGTTGTCAGGGATTTCATTTTTCTTAGATCCACAATCAACACCCAAAGCAGCAGTCAGGAATCAGATGTTGTATTACACTGGGCAAATCTGCTACAAAAGACGCCTTTCAAGTGCTGAGGAGCAAAGATGTCTCTTTGAAGACTAAGGTGCCCCTGACCCAAGCCATGGTGTTTTCAACCACCTCATATGCATGTGAGAGCTGGACGATGAATAAGGAAGACTGCAGAAGAATTGATGCTTTTGAGTTGTGGTGCTGGTGAAGAATGCTGAAAGTACCATGGACTGCCAGAAGAACTAACAAATCTGTCCTGGAGGAAGTGCAATTGGAATGCTCCTTGGAAGTAAGAATGGCCAGACTTTGTCTCACCTACATTGGTCATGTTGTCAGAAGGGACCATTCCCGGGAGAAGGACATCATGCTTGGTGAAGTGGAGGGTCAGAGAAGAAGGGGAAGGCCCTTAACGAGATGCACTGACATGGTGGCTGCAGTGATGGGCTAAGGTATAGCAAGGATTGTGCGGGACCAGCTGTTGTGCAAAGGGTCACTATGAGTCAGAGCTGGCTTGACAGCATTTCACAACAACAACATAAGTTAAACGACACCAGAGAGGTACCACTCGTTAGAACAGTAAACCACAGGAGATCAGAAGGCAGCATTTGCCCAGGTATGAAGCTCAGAGGGCAGGAAGGGACAGGAAGGAAGGATGAAGGGAACTGGTAAACGTGGGGATGGAAGTGGGAAGAGAGCTGTGACCTCATGGAGAGTGTAATCAGTGTCACAAAGCAAAATGCATATGAACTGTTGAATGGAAAATCAATTTGAATGTAAACATTCACCCACATCACAATGAAAAACCAAATCAAGCCTGTGAGCAGTTCTCTGCACACGTGGGGTGGCCATGAATCAGAATTGACTTGACAACCACTCACAACAAGGATCAAGGAGGCCGGGCATGGTGGCACCTCGCACCGCCACGATGACTTGTTTTCTGGGCACAGGCGTGCATGAAGACTCCCCAGGCCCTCTGTCAGCAAAAGTGCTGCCTGGGACCCAGCCAAGCAGGCAGTAGGCATTGGGGCCTGAGCCTGGCCAGTCTGGGGCCTGTGGCTGAGCGTTCCTGGGCTCTGCGCTCTGTGGGACACAGCTTTGGTTCACTGTGTAGAGTGGGCTGGACGGTGGGTCCCAGAAAGCATTGGAACCTGAGAACGGGTCCTTCTATAGAAGTAGGACCATTGCAGGTATGATCACATCAAGCATCTGGAGGTAAGGTCGTCCTGGATGGCAGGGCAGGCCTAAATCCAAGGACCAGTGTGCTTGTAAGACAGAGGAGGAGAGGACACAGACAGGCACACAGGGCATGCCATGTGATGACATGGACAGAGACAGGAATGATGTGGCCTCAAGCCCAGGAACACCACCGGAAGCTGGCACAGAGGCAGAGAGCCGATTGTCCAGATCCCAGTAGGAACTCATCCCACTGATACCTTGATTCTGGCTTCTGCCCTTCAGACTGGCAGAGAGTGAGCTGTGTTGCTCTGAGTGTCCCAGTTTGTGACGCTCTGTTGCAGCCACCTTGGGGAGCTCAGACACAGTTGTGGGGCCTGTCCCACCATTTGGCTGCGCACATCTTGCAGAGTGGTCTCAAGACCCCAGCTGTCCCTCGTCAAGCCCCTGAACATGCTCTCAGGGCTCGGACCCCCAGGAGCACTCTGGTGAAAAACCTGTACAAGGGAAGCGGAAATCACCTTGTTTTACACTGAACAGGAGTTAGGACTAACGTGGATTTGGCGTCTTTATTTCTAAAGTCCATTTGCTCGACTTCGCCAATGCAGAGATGTGTCCTACCGAAAGGGCCACACAATTTACCCCGATGAGCTGCTGCTTCTGTGGGTAACAGCCCTGTGTGTGCTGCGAAGCGCCTGGGGTAAAGGTAGCAGGCGGGAGAAGGGTCAGCCAAGATGTGACCCAGTGAGGTAGGGCCCTTTGACTGATGGAGCCAAGGGGGCCATGTGTCCTGTCCTAGTCCAGCCCCCTCAGTGTGGACCAGGATGTGGCTCTGGGCTGTTTCTGGGCCCCACCTGATACCATGCTTCTCAGAGCCCTGTTAGGGGGACTGGTGTGTGTGTGTAGGGAGCAACGTCACTAGTTGCTCCTGATCCCCCCAGCTCAGAGCCTTCAGATGGCTTTTCCCCAACATTGAAGCCAGGCTGTCTTGATGGAAGGCCCCCTCCCAGAGAGTCCACACATTGCCAGCGGACAGCATTCCCAGCATGAGTGTCTGGGGTTCCCTACAGGGACACATGGCTCCCCTAGGGGGTCCCACAGCAGCGTGTGGCATCGGTCCTGCTTGGGGGGCTCCTGGCACCTGCTGGGTCCTGAGGTGTTTGCCTGGGACCAGGACCTACAGTGGTACACTTCATGCCCTGCACTGTTCACACCTGGTTTCCAAGGTGAAAGCCCAGACCTCCGGGATGCAGTCTCCTACAACGCTTACACAGAAACCCAGAGAATGGCATTATCACCAGAGGATGGCCTGGCATCTTCCTGGTTTGGGGCAGGTGCCAGCTGCCCACTGCACTGGCAGGCGTGGAGCCTCAGCCAAAGCTCTGCTGCTTGCTGCTTGCCGGACACAGGCATGCCAACCGGGAAGAGCTTCAATGCTCGCTGGCTCCTCAGTGGCCTGGGTGTGTCACTGCTGCCCTAGGCCTGGTGGCTCCTCCTCTGTGGGGTCTGTGCCCGTGGGCTGGCCAGCCTGTGGATGCCATGCTGGCAGACTTGGTGGAAGAGGAGTCCAGCTGTTGAGTTCCCGGCCCCTGTGCCCACTCACTGCCCTCTCTGCAGGCACACAGGGCTTAGCAGAACTCTGCTCTCAGCCCCTCTGGGATGCATGGGGAGCCCTACGTGCCCAGTAGGGGCCCTAGCAAGTGTCGAGATGATTCCGACTCAGCGACCCAAGAGGACAGAGTAGAACAGCTCAGAACTGCCCCACAGGGTTTCAAGGCTGTCATCTCTATGGAAGCAGACTGCCACATTTTTCTGTCATTGATCGGCTGGTGGGTTCAAACTGCTGATCTTTCGGTTGGCAGTTGAGCTCTTCAACCACTGTGTCATGGGGGCTCTTTGGCAGATGCACAGGCCCAGGAAACACGCAGCAGTTCGCGCATGCAGTGGGAGACATGGCCTCCTCCGAGTCCTTGGAGTTCGTGAGCTTGATGAGGTCAGTCTTTGTACCCCATGCTTTCCATTCCCTGTGCACCCGGGACACTTCTTGGCGAGAGTGGTCAGTGGCCAGCACGTAGATGATGGGGTCGGCCACACTGTTGACTGTGGAGAGGCACAGGAACACCACGGATGTCGTGTACAGTCTGTCTTCAAAGGCGCACATGGCATCCTCATCCCCTCTGTAGTAGGAGAAGGCAACAGCTTTGATGAGGAGCACCAGGTGGTAGGGTGCAAAGCAGACAAGGAAGATGAAGACAACAGCTATGGCCGAGTGCCTCACCTTGGCCTTCTGGGAGTCACTCAAGCCCACGCTCAGCCGGATGCTCCTGATAATCTGGCAGTTGGTGAAGGCGATAACGGAGAGGGGTATGGCAAACCCAACGGCAAACCGTGAGTAGTGGTAGCCAACGATGGTGCTGTCCGTTGGCAGCCTCTCGAAGCAGGTGACGCTGTCCTTCATCTCAAACACTGGATAGTGGGTGATCCCCACGAGGACAAAGGCTGACACTGAGATGCAGATGGCGGTCCTCTGGTGGCGGTAGCCTCGGCTCTCCAGCGCATACACCACCGCCAAGAAGCGGTCGCAGGAGACGCAGCACAAGAGGAGGATGCTCACATAGATGTTGCAAAAGAAGATGTAGGCGGTCACCCGACAGGCCTGCAGGCCTAGCGTCCAATGGTGCTGGTTCTGGATGTACATGACCCAGAGCGGCAGTGTGCTGACATAGAGCAGCTCACAGAGCGACAGGCTGAACAGGTAGACGGCCAGCACGTTGCCCTGCAGGGCCTGCAGCAGTGTCAGCCACGCTGTCAGGCAGTTGGCTGGGAGGCCCAGTGCACACACCGCGCTGTACATCACCACCAGGAAGGTGCGGCTCTCCTCGAAAGACACATTGCAGAGCTTGGCGGGGTGGCCTGAGGTGGTTACCAGGGTGGCGTTTCCTGCAAAACAGAGACAAGAGTGAGGATGGGGTCCCCAGAAACTAGCTGAAGAGACTATAGTGATAAGAGGGGAGGTTCATGGTGGTGGGGATCTAGAGACACCAGGTGTGTCCAACATCTCCAGGTGGACTTTTTCAGTAACCGCTTGACCGTCATGGACAGAGGACACAGGCTGTGCTGTGTTGCCTTGCTGCTCATGGAGGTCAGTTTTCAAGAATGCTGCTCCTTTGATGGTGGCCACAGAGGACCTTACCTTGGCCTTCTGGGTGGTACTCAAGCCCACGCTCAGCTGGATGCTCTCAACGATTCAGTGGTCGGTGGGGGCAATGATGGACAGAGGGATGGAGACCTCAACGCAGACCTCAAAAGACTGTGTTTGGGAGGCGGGGCAAGATGGCGGACTAGGCAGAAGGATTGCACAGACCCTCTTCAACAAAGAAAAGGGAAACCAATTAACACAGACACAGAAGATAATCTTGGACCCCTGAGCCTTGAAGGAAAGGATGCAGATTTGGAC